TCGTTTCAGTGCAGTAATGTGATTTTTCGGGATTCTCTTAATTTTTTTAACATGCCTTTGGAACGCTTGCCGGCGACATTTTTTTTGAAGGAAGCGCATAAGGGTTTCTTTCCTTATTCTTACATTTCTGAAGACAAGATTAATTACACTGGACCCTACCCAAAAGCAGAAGAATACCATCCCGAACGAATGAACGAAAAACAGAGAAAGGAATTTTTAACTTGGCACAAAGAAAAAGTTAACAGCGGCGCCATCTTTGATTGTCAAAAAGAACTATCTGCGTACCTGAAAAGCGATGTCCAAGTGCTAACGGAATCGATGGAAACATTTGCCAGCGAAATGGTAGAGTTGACAGGCATAGACCCTACTGTGGAATGCGTCACCATTGCAAGTACGGCGTTTAAAGTTTTCCAGACCAAGTTTTTGGAGCCCTACACGATTGCCTTGGAGCCTCTCGGCGGATGGCGCCACAACCAGCAGAACCAGAGTGTGGAAGCCCTGCAGTGGTTAGAATTTGAAAATGCCAAGATTGGCGGTGGTATTCAGGTAACTATTAAGAATTTTAGAAATTTAAGTTGCAGTCAAAGTCTACACATTTTAAATTAACCTTGCAGTGTTTTTCACACTTAAGAAATTTAGTTGCAGTCAAAGTGCGCATTTTAAAAATTTAACTTGCCGTGTTTTACTGCAAATTTTAATTCGTGACATGTTTACTACTGTGCAAACACAATTGCACGCTACAAATCAAAAATTAGAAGGAAATGTATGCGAAGTATGCCTAAAAAGTCTGCAGATTTTAAACTTACATTGCAGTGTTTTTCTGCAAATTTCAGTTATCGAAATGATTTATACTCTGCAAACGCAAATGCACGATCGAAATCAAAAATTATAATCTGCGGACCGCGCGGGAAACAGTAACAAACTTATAATTTTTCTTTCTATCTTTCAGTCTATGGGGCAAATTTGGTGGGCGACAGAACAAACCAGTGACCCACTGTATCACCCAACCCTCGCATCTGTTCCAGCTGTTAGAAGACCCGGTGAATGAGATTCACAGTGTACGTATCTGCTCTGAAGATGTCATGGAATTAGTGGTGACCAAAGTGGAAGACGAATACCAGCGTTCGTTCAAGCAAAACGTGTTCATCGCGGCCTTCACGACTTCGCTGGCTCGCCTAAAGCTCTATGATGCCCTTGATTTCTTAGGTGATCGAGTCTTGTATTACGATACAGACTCGGTCATTTATAAAACCAAGCGGGGTCAAGACAAGCTACCGCTGGGTTCGTTTTTGGGGGAATTCACAGACGAGATTGACGGAGACGTGATCGTGGAATTTTGCAGTGGCGGGGCGAAAAACTACGGGTACCTGACCAAGAAAGGTAAAGTCGAATGTAAAGTACGTGGGGTTTCGCTGAATTATGAGACGAAACAAGTCTTGAATTACCAGACCATGAAAGAAAACATTCTGAAAGAATTGGACGAGCCCTTGGAAAAAGCGCGCCGAATGGCTATTACTATTCTCGATTTTTTCCAAAGGGATCAAGTCACCAAGAAATTCAAGCTTACGGAACGTAAAAAACATTTCAACTGGTGTTTGATAAGCGTGTGATTGACCCTGCCACTCGTTCTTCCACACCGTACGGATACAACTGGTTCGGTGCCGAAGTGGAACTTTTAATGGACTTGTAAATAGTGCGGGTACGGTTAGCTTGGTAGCGCCAACCCGCTTTAGCTTTTGTATACGGTTTTTATAGGGGTACAGTAGCTTGGAAGCGCGAACCCCTTGCATGCTTTGTTTTTGAAAATAAATTAGAGTTTGTAACATTTCATCGAAGGGAGGTGAAATGTCGTGAACACAATTGAATGGTGTGGTTTCTGTTTTTGTATAAATAGAGGGCAGTATGGTTAGTCAAATTACTTGTCGTAAGATGTCGAACATTTATTTGACCCTCGTAAGCGATGTCACCCAAAAGTATACGAGTAATGTGGCCAATCAGTTTAAAGTCAAACCTCAGCTAAGATTACCCGGGGAAGGATGGAAAGTGTCAGTGGCTGGAGCTATTTTACCAAAAATGCCTTTGTTCAAAGAATTACAAATTGCGAACGTAAATTTAATCGAATTATGGGGTGAAACTGAAAAAGCAGGACAATCCGATGCGTGGCAAAAGGGTTATGTGAAAGCAACCGATTTACGTGAATGGGAGAAAGCAGAAACATGTCATACAGGGGAAGAATTTTTCAATACTGTAAAACATAGACTAGAAGAAACAGCGCATGCTAGTTTGGATGAGGGATTTAAGTTTTGTTCAGCGCGTTGGATTAACTTAGCCTGGGACAAAAAAGGAGTGCATCCGGAACTGGTCTTAACAAACACTACAACAAGTAATTTAATTTATATTTACAAACCGTTCGCCAAATCTTTGCGCTGGATAAATCTTAAGACAAATCAACATGATAGCATGGGACCAAATTTGGTACATAGCTACCCCAATCACACTAAAGGAGCAAGTTCCTTGGAGACGGGAAAACCCACTCAAATACTTGGCAATTGGCTTCATTTAAGTACTCTCTCCGATTGGCGTTTTATTAACCTCAATCATTGTTTTAAAGATGCCTTAAATCTTCACCCCCGCCCGCTTTCTGTGACCGCCAACGTGACTGCCAACAAAGAAACCGTCACACAGTCACTGGGTCAAGTGTACTACGCGCCTCAAGGAAGACAACGCTATGCGTTTACTCCCGTTCAAGAAACCTTTCAAGAGGTACAAGACAATAATTGGGAAGAAGTAGAAATTACTCTGAAAGAATTGGATGGGACACTAGTTCAATTTCAATCGGATAGTCAGTGCGTGATTCGACTGCATTTTAAGAAAGAATAAGACACAATTCAATTGTAACAACAAATTTTTATTAAGTGAATAAAAAAACAAACAGAATTACAGCTTAAGTTTGCGTTTTGTCTGCATAATGGCTTTGACGATCCGTTCTTGTTTGGTTTTCTTCCCTGGGAGGTTTTTAATAGCGCGTATCATTTTATCGTCCGTTTTCCACTTGTCCTTTAAACTTTTCGCTTTGGAATAATCGATGTCATGGATTTTCGCTAATTCGTCTAATCTATTGACGCCTCGGTCACCCCTCTTCAGTCTTTGTTGAAGCCGGGTCCCTGGACCAAGGTAATTTGCTTTAGGCCAATGAAACTCTTTGCCTGTTTTTTCAATTAATTTTTGAATATCCAACTCAGCCCCACGCTGACCACGCTTTTTTCCTTTTTGCGGTCTTTTTCTGCGAACCTTTCTTTTACCAGTCTTTGCCATGTAATCTTCTTTTCGCTGGTGTCCCAAACGGTTTCCAGCATGGAGCCGGGGCGAGTTTCTTTAAGGCTCTTTCTTTAGCCCTTTCAGCAGCTCTTTTTGATGCCTCGGCAAATTTTTTTTCAATGCTCTCCCGAGCTCTTTGAAAAGGGGATTTAGCAGCAACGCCTTCTTCTTCCGCTGTACTAGAAACACTGGAAGGAGGGGAAGGAGGGGAAGGATTCTTTTTCTGTTTAGGAGTCTTGTATCCAGAGGAAGGCGTCTTTTTCGGGGTTTTGGGTAACAGCCGCTTTGCCTTGGATCCGGTCTTAAACGTTAACTTGGGTTTTTTACTCGTAGAAGGACTTTGTTTGACCACTGGCGTTTGTAACGCTGACTGAGGGGTGACCGGTTCTGCTTTCCTTTTTATAGCCTTACTGATTTTTGAAATGTTTCCCATAAAATGTTGTAACGGGCCTACGGCTAAATTTTCATCATCACTCTCGTCTTCATCGCGACTTATTCCTTGTGTTCCTCCTGGTTGACAAATTTTCTTGACGCATTGTTGTAATTCTCGGTTGACTGATTTTAAACGAGGTTCTTACCATGTATCTGGGGCAGGACTCTCCAACAAAAGTTCTTTTTGAGCGGCTAAACCTGCTCCTTTGGTCAAACGGCTGTCGTCTAAAAGATTAGATTTATATTTATCTCGCAAACGTAAAAATTGCACTGGGTTTTCAATCAGTGTGGATGAAATACCGTCCATGCTTGCTAATGAAAATAAGAGTTAAGCCTTGTCTTTTTATATTGGTTTGGGTCTGTATCTCTATTTGACTTTTTGTCGAAACTCTTTGATCATTGGTGCTAGTAGAAGCAAATAGTCTAATAGACAAAGAAGTCGTTGTAACACGTTACGTTTCAGATTGTCTTTTACCACAGTGATAACAGCGATGTAATTCTTTCCACGCGCCAGCGCCAATCTGAGTACTCATCAAATGTTTGCGCTTTTTTATACTCTGACGAGGGTTGGCAATGAGTCGGACAGATTGACGATAGGGTTTTAAACGGCTCACTGTTTTTCTCCCAGGTTTAACACTCCCACGCAATGTGTTCATCACTAACTCACTCACGGCATTAATTTGATCTGCATTCGCATACCGTAATTTTTGTTGCCGCTTATTTTGGTTAGCTTCTTTTAACACATCGTTTAAAAAATGACTCTGTCTGGTCATACGCCCTGTCATGTTTATTTCTTTCTTTGTGTTCGTTGACGTCTCTTCCTTTTATACTTCTTTTTCTCTAACGTTAGGATTGCTTTCCTAGTACCAAATTTTGTTAATGCACTTAAACCTCCTAACGCAACCGCTTTTCCTCCCGCCGCTAAAGCTGTAATCGCTGCGGCTAACAGGGGAGCAATCCCACCTCGTTGTCTTCCAACCCCTGGTTTACCTTTTCTTCTTTTTGGGTGACCTTTTCGTTTCAAGTTTAACTTTGCGTTTGTTGAACAGTGAACGGCTATTTATATCTTCGTCAAAGGCATGAACTCGCGTTGCTCCCTGTTCTTTGGTTAAATGACTCCAAATACGAAAACAGTCATCGGAGGCAGGATGTAAATCCAACATAAAATACCCAAAAGGACGGGAGGTCAGCTTTAAAAACAAATGGAGTACTTGACACCATTTTTCAGGGTACACCTGAAGCAGTAAATGTCAAATACCTGTCTTATCCCTAGGTGATTTAAAACAAATCACATAGTGTGCATTGCGGTTAATAGTTTTCGCAAACTTGCCCGGGGGAAAGAGATCTTGTGTGATATAAAGCGCCGTAATACCTCGATGGTGGGAATCTTTCGTAAATAAATCCAAGACACGTTTATCACTCCCCGATTCTTCCATTAAATCATCCAAAATGAGTATGCCATGATGCTCTGGTTTAAACCATTTCACGAGAGCCCCTTCATAATCATAATTATACCAATACTGACTTTTGAAGTTTCTTACTGCAGGGTGCTTCATGAGATGAAAAATAAACACAGTGAAAATTGGTTGTTTTGGATCGGAGAAACAAGCTCCACTGACGGGTTGAAAGGTGAAGGTTTAACATCATGAAAATGATTTGTCCACAGCACAATGCCACTTACTGTATATATAAAACCTCTTTTGAAAGAACAGTGCACACACCTGTGTACAGGTGTAGTAGACTATAATATTAATAGATTTTTGCTAGGGAGTCATTAGGCCATGTGAAACTATAAGGTAACACTTATCGAATCACAAACATCTCTTTGTTTAAATAACAGGCAACTGGATTAATGACTTAATCAGAAATTATTGACAAGACGTTTACTTGTAAATTATTTATCCTTGTTAGTTATGGACATTTATGGTGGTGACCCACGCACAGAAAGGATACTTTTCCTGGTCCCGTCAGTGGGTAGAAGTCCTTCGTTGTTGGGACAGATTTCAGGTAATTTTAGAGGAGCAAGAATCGTCGTGGTCAATGTCAATAACAATAAATTTTTAAACCACTTTCAAACGGGATCAAAGCTGTCACGATCGTGTGTGTGTGTTAGAACGATATGCCTGTAATACAACAGCACGTGCTCAAGGCTTATTAATGAGTAATGTTACAGTTATGGTGAGAAAAGATTGCCATATGTCCTTTAATTCTTGAATTAACTCAAAACCCCAATACATGGAGCCTCAAACTGGAAAGCAAGGATTTTTCAATAGCTTTTACATACAGAGATACAGCTGAAGGATTAGATCTCATGAGTACCACAAACAGCTAACCTGAACAAGGATCAAACTATGATTATATCAACTGGAAGGTTCAAGTTTTATAAGACAATTATTGCAAGCAAAGAAGGAGAAGGTAGAATTAAATGAAAGCAATCATTTTCTTTTCTGTACCCTTACCCTATTTAGATGCAGACATTGATGAAGTGGGCTCCGTTTTGAAAAAAGTTCTAGAAAGGGCAGCTGTTCACCAACAACAGAGGTAACATACCTAATATGATGCAAAAGTTACACATTAAATTGAAGGAGGCTATGAAAAAAAAAAAAAAAAAAAAAAAAAACAGGTAAAGTCAATTTTGAGATTTAGCTGTAAGTTATGGAAAAGCAATCCTTAGTGGCATGAAATAGCTGATTTTGAAGGTTCAGTTGTTTATTAATTTTTTTTAAATTTAAGACTACACCTTTATCAGTTACCCCTGATCTTAGCACTGTCAATAAACCAAGTAATTAAATATCACATAACAATCCTGAAGTTAGAAATCTCCAAACATGACCTTTGACATAATCTGGAACATTCTCTAGATTGCCTAATTCCATTTCCTAACAAAAAAGACCAGGTTATGCCAAACACTGATATTCTCAAGAAAAAAAAAATTTGGCAAGCAAGCTGGTCCAGAAGCACCCTTAACAATTGTGTACATTGTTGAAGGAAAGCCCTTAGTCACTCTGCTGTCTTTTAAGCTCATCAATAAACTTAAAGCCAAAAACAGTTACTATATCTGATATTTGGCTGAATGTGACCTTTTTCATTGCAGGAAAAAAACGGGCAATTTCCAGCTCTATTCAAGCCCAACAGGTGAGGGAGGTTTAACAGTACATCAGTAGACATGTACTCACTTCCAAATTAATTGTACTGCTCACTGATACATTGTTGATTTCACATCGGGATAACTGTTGATAATTTAACTTTTAAGTCCATACAAAACCGTTTTGATTTTAAAGCAAAATAAAATAGGCTGAATGTTGTTTTGCTTTGTTTATTTTTTCTTAACAAGGTAAGGCAGATGAGACGCCAGAGGATAACTCGCCCGCCCAAAGAAGGCTACAAAGTGATAGTGTGCGACTTGGTTCAGGGCCGCCCATTAATGTCCCGCAAATTTAGTGAAACTGCCTTCTATCAGGTACCAAAGAAGCAATAATATTGTAAAAAGAGTTTTCTGTAGATCAAGTGGGTAGAGCGCCTGCCCTGTGTTTGGGAGATCATAGGTTCGAATCCTAAAAGGGACTCAAATTTTTCTTTGCCACACACTCTCAACATGCTGATCATTTCATTTTCACAATATTGTTATACTTTTCAATAGGCAACATCTCGAGTAAAAGACAGTATTTTCTTTAGGTTTTGAAATTGATGTAGCGTTTTAATAAATTATTAGTCATTGAGAGCACCCGAAGCATCATATCAGTAACAGGATACTGAAAGGGCCATGCATTTCCCTAATAACTTCACTTGTATTTAGCCAAAGCTAAATAAAGTAGCATTGGCAAAGAAAGACAGATAAGAAAGTAATAAATAAAGGAAATGATATTATAGATAATATTAATTCATGATAAGAAGGTAACATCGGCACAAATATCCTTATTTATCTATTATCCTAAACTATAACATGATTGGGTAAATTGCCAAGAACAATTTCTAAGGGTGCACAACTTAAGAGGATCAATAACTATTAAAACATTGCCTGATGAGTGTGGTCATGTTATTGAAATAGCAGTGAACTACCTCCAAAGCCTAAATGAATATTTCTTTAAGTCACTGCGGTTTTTGTTTTATTTTACAGGAAGTATATGACTGGGCAGGGGGGGCTGATGAGATGCCTCTCTTTTTTACGTTACATAAAGAGTCCAGACCTACATGTATAAGTCACAAGGAGCGACTAAAGGGCCATGAAGTTTTGAGTTTTGTGGAACGTGTAAGTATGGTACATTATCATTTATCTTATCTGGATAAAGTTGCTTGAGTTTTGATAGTAAAAACCTTTGCTGAAAGAAGATTTCTTCTTTATCACACAGGATGAAGCAGACATGGTTAGACTGCTTGGGTCATTTGAGGTAAGGGGGGAATGCAAACAGATGTTGGCACATGCAAACGTACCATAACAATAATATCTAATAAGCTATCTAGAATCAGATATGTAAAAGAAGCTTACTAAGGGAAACAGCAGAAGGTTACTATATCTAACCCAAGGAAACTGATGTTTGAGATGACACTAAAATGTCAGCACTTTGTAAATTGAAAATGAAAAAGAAACTATTTATTTTTAGTTGCAACGTTTATTTCTATTTATTCCTATTTTAATCAGAAACCTACACCTATTAACCCCGTGAATTTCTGGACATCTAACCTTAGAGTTCTTAATCGAGCCAGGTCCTCTGTGTCCATGCTCTACGTGAGCGAGGATCTTTGCCACCAGGTTCTTGGGAACATAACCCTCGCAGACTGGGTTCTTAATCGAGCCAGGTCCTCTGTGTCCATGCTCTACGTGAGCGAGGATCTTTGCCACCAGGTTCTTGGGAACATAACCCTCGCAGACTGGGTTCTTAATGGAGCCAGGTCCTCTGTGTCCATGCTCTACGTGAGCGAGGATCTTTGCCACAAGGTTCTTGGGAACATAACTCTCGCAGACTGGGTTCTTAATCGAGCCAGGTCCTCTGTGTCCATGCTCTACGTGAGCGAGGATCTTTGCCACCAGGTTCTTGGGAACATAACCCTCGCAGACTGGGTTCTTAATGGAGCCAGGTCCTCTGTGTCCATGCTCTACGTGAGCGAGGATCTTTGCCACCAGGCTCTTGGGAACATAACATAACATGTAACACAAAATTAATCAAAGACTGCATTTACAACAACACTGACTACCCAGTATGACCTTTGACTAGATGACTTTCCAAGCTATTATTACTTGTCATAAAAAATATTTATGTATAATACATCTTTATAAGGGAAAGGATATCTTACCAAAAAGGTATAATAATTAGGTAAATGGGTTAAACATTCGTAAATAATGCCGGCAGGGAGCGATAATAATGCATAAGCATACTCTTAATATTAAGTTAACTGAATGCCCTCAAGCAAATACCGTACATCGATGTAATAATTCTAAAATGAGTAGTTGATGTAGGAAGTTATCAAATACCAAATCCAAAACACAAGTTAACAATAAATCAACATTAAATAACCACTAAATAATTGTGAACTTGATATAAAAATGCAATTTATGAAAACACACTGAATAAATTATTACAGTAGATAACACTGTGCTACTTAAAAAAAAAAAAGTCACGCAAAGTCATAACCACTGGGAATTGCAAACAAGCGACAAGAGTACAACCAAAGATGAACACAGTCAAGACGAAAATAATGAGAAACGATGGAATACACCTGGAAAGTTGCAAAGGAATGTTCAATGGTTAAGGCATGGTCGATACACAATGACTTCTCTCAGAGCCAAAGAGCATGGTAGGGATACAAACTACCAACTAACAAGAGGTAACAAGAAGGCACCATCAAAGAAAGAAGAACAATGATCCTCCAGATGTAAATATAGAAGACTTAATATTAAGTAATAGAATTTTTCACATGGTCGAGATTGAAACAACATGTAGCTAGGAGAGGAGGCTAAAGGTTATTGGTCCAGGTTGGGGATGAGGTTGATATGTCAGCTGACAGGGTGAATGGGTTAACTGCAGTCAGGTTACAGATAAAGGGTATCCTCAACACTGAATGATAACTTTAGACACTAAAGGAACTAGCTTAATGTATACCTTAAACCTCTTTAATTTGAATGTGTACTTCATAAACAAGGCTAAAAATAAAAGTACATGTATAACAGTCATAATTAAAAGGAAGAAATTAGTATTATATACTAGTAAAAGTTTATTTGATAGAAAAATAAAATGATATAAATTTAATAGTTATGATATGTAACAGAGAAATAAACAAACCAAAAAAAATCAACAAGAAGCTAGATACTTCTCAATAAATTATATATTATTCTATATAAACTGACTCAGTTATGAACTATCATTGCATACAGAGTCTTATGTCTATTTACCAAACAAACACAATCTAAACACCCTCTTCTCAAAAATAACAAAATAATTTTAGATAATTAAGAGCCTGTAAAGTACTCGTTAATGCACCGTAGATTCCAAATTCAATGGGCATTTCCACCCCTATCTGCCTGAGTTGGACAGTTCACAATCAACATGAATTTGTCCAGTTGACACTAACAGTGAAGCTCACTACTCACCAACTAATGCTTAATCAGTCTTCTGGTCCAGTTCAAAGTTGAACAAACAGACTGCCCTCTTTGGGTTGGCAGGGTGGCCATAATCTGGACAGCATTCCTCCCTTCTGTTTTGCTCTTTTTTGCAGGTTGAATTCAGAGGGAACATTCCTTGTGGAACTTCGGAAGAGGACCTCTCCAAGACAGTTCAGGGTAATCAATTCAATGTATTTATCAGGGTACATGGAAATGAAGTATAACTACCAAAACGTGCCTGGCTATTAAGTTCACAATAATACAGATCACTTCTTGCACCATCGACAGACCTGTAAATGAAAATTGTAATTATTACATGAACAAGAGGCAATGACAGAAAATAATTATTTTCCACAAACACTCTTGTCAATACCACAATTTCCCTCTATCCTTTGTTTTAAGTCTACAGATCTCTTTTTGAAACAAGAAAAATTATATTCTATCATTTTTTAATTTTATTGTTTCATGAACTATGATGAAATTTACCACCTTCCCTGTTCTACAAGGGAATCAACTACAACATTAATGTATATAACATAGACATGATGATTTGATTTGATTTCTTCTTCATTTCTTTACACTTGTAAATGAATTAAGACTTGAAGACAAAGAACTAAAATCAACCACAGTTGATTCATTTCAACCCGACCATAAATTTTGACATGTAATAAATATTTTTAAAATACTATCTTCTGATATCTTCTCTCTTTCATTATGTTATAGATGCAAGTCCAACCAGCAAACCACCAGCAGCATGCTTGATGTCACCAAAGGTCCAAACAACTACTACAACACACATTACCACCTCCACGACGTCCACAAAAACCATTTCATCAGCCACAAAATCAAGAAATACCACATCATCCACTGCAGCATCAGTTGTTAAATCATCCACCACATTGTCATCTGCCATCACATCAGCCACTACCCCTCCCAGTACGAATATCAAAACCACTGACACCTCGGCCACCCCATCAACAACCCCAACATCGTTGACTCTCCCGCTTCATGCAGAAGGTAAGGAAAACGTTTTCACCATGCTATTGTTGTTGAAAAGGCCATTAACTATTATTTAAATGGAGATAAGTTAATAATACATAGACAAATGAAACACAAACTACTTTGAAAGAGCATGAGTTCTAGACAGCTTGAATCAAAAAGGGTTAAATATTACAGGTGTCTTTTTGAAATAATAAAAATTATATTTCTATCATTTTTAATACTATTGTTTCATGAACTTACCACCCTCCCTGTTATACAAGGGAATTAACTGCAACATACATGTATATAACATAGACATGATGTAGTGTAGTTAATTTTTTTATCTCTAATAAATTTCATTTCTTCTTTGTTACAACGTAATTAGAATATATTACCATACCCCAAAACAAAAGAGAAACTTGTAAATGAATTAGGACTTGAACGCAAAGACCTAGAATCAACCACCGTTAAAAATGTCAACCCGACCATAATTTTTGACTTGAAATAAATATTTTAAAAATACTTTCTTCTGATATCTTCTACCTTTCATTATGTTATAGGTGCAAGTCCAACGAGCAAACCACCAGCAGCATGCCTGACTTCACCAAAGGTCAAAACAACCACTACAACACACATTACCACCTCCACGACATCAACAAAAACCATCTCATCAACCACAAAATCAACAAATACCACATCATCCACTGCAGCATCAGTTGTTACCTCATCCATCACATTGTCATCCACCATCACAACATCCACTGCCCCTCCCAGCATGAATATCAAAACCGCGGCCACCCCATCAACAACCCCAACATCATTGACTCTCCCCCCTCATGCAGAAGGTAAGGAAAAAGTTTTCACCATGCTATTGTTGTGAAAAGGCCATTAACTGTTATTTAAATGAGATAAGTTAATAATACATAGACAAATGAAACACAAATTATTTCGAAAGAGCATGAGTTCTAGAGGGCTTGAATTAAAAAGGGTTAAATTACAGTGGAAGAATTAATTTAACTTTTGAGTTAGTGTAAGGATCAACTTAGAGTTCTGTTAGCTCCATTTTTACCATGTCAGGAATGTGTGTATATCATCTTTTTGTAACAAGTTTACATATTCCGTCTAAGATTTAAAACATGAAAAACATAAAAAAGTTGAGAAAGTAGTACTCAGGTATATATGTGGAACAGTTACCATTAATGGAAAAATACTGTGGACTGTTCTTTTTCAGAAGAAGACAGCCATCGAAAAGGAGAAAAAAGAAAGAAGAGGAAAGATCCAAGAAGCAGGAAAGACAGAAGGGAAAAAAAGAAAAAAGCTGATGCACAGTAATGTGATGGTGTCTGAACAGACCTTTTGCACCAATATGGCAGCCATATTAATCAAATAGATTTAAGGGAGTATCAGGGCGCGCCCAAGCAGCATGAGTATTATTGGATATACTCACTCATTATTTACACCCACTTCTTGGCCCAATTTTTCTTAAAGGGAAAAAAGATAAAGATGGCTGTACCATGTTTTGATGTTTCTCTTTGCCCGAAAATCATGCATAAATACTGAGCGAATGCCCCCTGGGTTTCAATTCAATATGGCCACAATATCGGTAAAAAGGTCTATTCACAATATTACGATTTCAGACCACGATGCAAGAAGACTACTAGAATTGTCACTTTATTACAGCCATTTTGAAATCACAGAATTTAGCCAGTGGCAATATTTATTTGATCTAGAAGCTGGTTTGATGAAAAGCAATAACAAAAAGGCCACCACATTTCATTTTGTACCCAGAACAGAAATGATACAATTAAGAGCATGAATGAGGTCCTTTATACAGATAACGGTTTAGAGGCTATCAGATTGCAGGGATTACCAGTGATTTCAAAATGGACGTAACAAAGTTTGGAAGATTACCATAACTTTTTGGGTGAAAGAAAAAAACAAAACAAAATAGCTTTTTAACATTAATTTTTTAGGCTGCATGTAGAGTAGTCGAGAGCATTTTAAACCTCTTTCAAAAGAAATATTTTTAAAAAAATTAAACATACAATCAAGTAAGGTTCAAAACATGTCATAGAATGCAAATTAGTATAGAAAATTACCAGGAAACCATCGGCAATTATTTAAATGGCAGTTATGACAAAATATGTAAAGAGAGGGAGACAGATGAAGTTTTATCCCCTACTGACATTGTAGGGACCTTAAGATGCATCTATTCAGTCCATGGAAACAGATAGCCAAACATAGTAATTTCGCAAAATTAATTTGGCAATAATAGTATCTCTTTTCTAAGAGGTAGCCGGCTTTTTTTCCTGGTAAGACACAAGTCATTCTATGCCTGCCAACTTTTTCTGGTCAAATGTGTCAGATTTTTGCCTTTCCACGATCATGACCGTCCCAGTGAACTCCCGAGGTTTTCTGTACATTTTCGGGAGCCTTGTGGACCTTCACGAAAACTTGCGAAGATGTTCTGACGGCCTTTGAGCACTTTCAAAACTGGTGTAAAAGACACCAACTTTAGCGTGTTTTGATTTTGTTGGAACACAAAAGTCATCATTCAAAGCCTGGAATATTAATTGTGGAAATTGAATTAAACTTTTGTCACTCATCACGTATTTAAGAACAATTTGTCTGGATTTGTGAGGCAGGTTTGAGAAACTGTCCTTGAAGTACGAGATTGATGTCTTTAGTCTGCAGGCGTGAGACTCGCGCACAATGCATGAGAGTTGGCAGGCATACCCACCTACTGAATCTGTGCATCTTAAGGTGTCTACAATTCCTCATGAGTACGTGATATGAAGGGTAGAAACTCTTACAGTTTTAGTAACCGGAAATTTTGCAAAAATAGTATTATAAGTTTATCAGTTTCAGTTGAGCTCCAGTTCCGTTTAATTTGTGTGACTGCATGAAGCTGTCGATTCAAATTTTTAAACTGGTTGTATTAAAAGATCACCGAAGTTGGCATGCAATGATAAAATTAATGAAATGCGTTCAGCATAAACGTAAGTCTTTAAGTTTAACCATTATTAGTATAATTACATTGATGAATATCGAAAATAGTATAGTAATAGTCGGCGAATAGTCACCTCGATGTCGTCTCAGTGACTATTCGCCGATATTCACGTAGCCTGAGCCGGCTAATTGTTCAATGTTTACTTGACTTTTTATGAAGTTCATTTCGGCCATGTGAAAAATATAAAGCCTAAGACCTGCAGCAAACGTTAATGTTCAGTCATTGCAGAAAAAAAAGTTTTTCCTTGACGACTTGAGTATAACTTACGCTTACGCCGACTAGCAGGGTATAGTTTAGTTTAATAATTATTATTTGCTTGAACACTTACCTCACGTGTATTAGAGAAAAACCGCTTTGTATTTCAGTAACATTCCGATTTTGTTGAAGGGAAGCCACCATTTATATCAAACCGGGCGTTTCAAACGCTTGACACATGGATTAATGCGTACATAGAGAGTACGAGTACAGATTTTAGAAATAAAATCACATAGGTTGCCACTTGGTTGTCACAAGTTATGGCGGCGGGGCAGGGACGAGACAATCTGGGGACTAGAACGTTAGTCCCCTTCTTATTTCTCCTCACAGTTAGATCAGATAAAACGTCTGTTGAAATGGGAGAAAAATAAAGGGATATTTTTTCCCTTTTGACAAAAGGAACAAACAATCAATCAAGTATAGACACCATCTTTAGTGGGAAGTTAATCGCTATATACGTTAAGCAGAGTTGAGCCAGGATACAATAACACAAATCCTGCCCCCCCCCACCAAAACCTCTTCAAAAAGTAAATAGATAAAATTCAAAATTTGTCCTTTGATTAAAGACCAAACTAAGTTTTAAAATCCCTTTTCCTTTTTCTTTTCATTGATTGTGGTCAATCATAATTTTAGCGAAGCTATTAGTATCACATGCTTTTACCGTATGGCAGAAACTCGCGAAGTTTTAGGGAGAATGGCCTAGATGGCCATGAAAGGGGTTTGCGGAAAACGCGGAATCCAAACACCCACCCCGAATTCTGATTAGAGTTTGGAAACTAAGTGAATCAAGTTTCAAGTAAGCTTGCTGAGCGTTAGTGGAACCTGATACACTCATGTATTCCTCAGCCTAATAACTTAACTTCAGATTCACGCGGCTATTTTTTCCGGGGTGAAACTGAGACATCTTCGGGTTGGCGGAAACATTAAGCAGCCTCTCCGTCATGAGAATTACCAGTGGTTATTTTACGTTACCACCTGTCTTTTTTGGTTTGTTTTGTTTTGTTTTTTTTCCCTAGGGACGAGAAGCGACGAGATAATAACTTCCACCTTTCTATTTATGAAGAAACATTTCCGTTACTTTTTCCTTTGAAAAATATACCTTTTTCCGTACTTTGAAGATGTTCTCTATCTACCCTCTCCCCCCATTTTGACTGTCAAAACGATCGAGTCCGATTTACCGAGAAATCGGACCCGATTGAGTTTCCCTCTGACAGGATCAGACATTCAGAAATCGGGCCCGATTTAAGACAATTCGGGCCCGATTAATTTAAAGCGACTCCGATTACTTTTTGGGGCCCGATTTAACAACAATTCAAGCCCGATTAGTTTTGGAATCCGATCTGAAACATATCGGACCCGACTAAAAAACGGACCCGATTTGTTATCGTGTTCGATTAAATGAAATCGGGTCCGAGTTGATATTCGGGTCCGACTGAAAAACATCGAACTCGATTACCCAGAAACGGGTAAACATCCCTTTATAAAACATAATATGTTTTTTCATGCAATCAAATCGGGGTTGCCATCGGTCATAACAATACACAATTTTTTTCGGAGGAGGGTCAAACAAGGTTTTTTCTTTGAGCAATTTTTCCACTAATTCACTTTTCCCGCTACCGGAGGGGCCCGCTACAATCACGCTAGCTGGTTGTCGGATCATTTTCGCCGTCTGTAATGTTGTACGTTATCTTTTATACCTTTCAGCTCTTGTTTTCCTAAAAAGGCCCCTAATTTGATAAAATTAGGAGAAGGACCCGACAACCCCATGGCGACTCCCTCGGCTATTTTATCCACTAAACGCGGTTTTCGCCTAAATCTAGCACCCCCTTTTTGACTTTTTCGTTTTTTAACTCGTTGTTTTCGCTTTCAGGCCATAGTTGTTGATACAATCGCGGTGAGTTCAACTGAATGAGTAGAAGTATCTGATCTTTCAAATGGGTTTCACCTATTCCTTTTATATGATTTTTTAAGTCCCACCACAACTGAGCTTGCACTAAACATCGTACAAATTGCCGATGATACCCATCCCACAGATCTGCTGGATCCGGACAGAGTTTGATCCATTCTTGTTTGTGATCTTTCCAATAAGACCATTCTTTTTCTAACAGTGCATGGAGCACTTTTTGAAACATCCCCCCGTAATATCATGATAAAAATGACACAGTCAAAAGTAACACAATTTTATTCATGAATGAAAAAAGAAGAACGGTTTACATTAGATTTCTCATACTCGGTTAGCTCTGTTTTAATAAGACGTTGCAGTTGGTCTGCGACTCACTTATCATTTAACACTAAATTATTAGAATGCCACTGGGCTAGAAAATCTTGAAAAGAGGCATGTCTTGCTTTTGCTTTTAAAAAGAAAAGGGCATAATGCCCACACGTAAAACTATCCATGGCTTGTAAAGTCTGATCACTGCTAATGATTTCTTTCCACTGGCTCAACCAAGCTTGTAAGGTAGGATTTTTGTAGGTAGAAAGAGGTAACCCATAACTGTCAAAGACTTCACATGTAGTTCCTTCGGTCCAAAGGGCTAACCAATGTTCACCCGGCTGACTTGCGGGATCAGTGTTGACAATAAAAGCATTCACTCGTTTTTTAAACACCAAAGGTACTTGGTCTGCTGGAAACACACCACGAAAATAGGGTCGTAATTCGCGATCGTCTTTTGCCAAGTAACGGAGGACTGTGTCACTGAGAGGTACGAACTCCATCCTAGCTGTTAATGGAATAAAGAATGCCTCCCCACTGGTCTATTTCATAGACATTTTCATACTCACTCCAAATGACCACGGTCACATTGTGACCAACATTGGCTCTGAAGTCAATTTCATAACTGACATTCCCTGTGAGTTTAGGATTTCTGTAGCTAGGATCATCCGCATCCCCAGGAGCATTGTTAAACATGAACAAGGTACAATTGTTGCCTTGTCCCCAGTCGCTTGGGAGCAGCATGGGTACCCTGTGGCGCTTGTAAGCGCCTGACGCTGTGAGGAAGTGATCATAGCCTACTAAGTCTTCTGCTTTGGAATTGCCTGTTAGTTCCAAGGCTCTGTAGGGGTATTCTTCTCCGTCAATTCGTTGTCGAACTCTGGTGACGCCAAACTTTTCACAGGCATAAGGGTAATACTTCAGACTTCCATTGTAATTAGTGGAATTCATGAGTCCGATAATGACTTTGACGGGAACCTTGTTCAAGAAGACATTGTCCTGAGACCAACGAGTGCTGTTTCCATCGAACGAATACGTTCGGATTTCACTTCGAACTACAGGGTAGCGGACTTTTTTGGTTTTACTCAAACTTCTTTCTTTTTGTAGCCTGGAATACACAGAGGCATTGAGAGTGACTTTGTTTATCCAGAGTGTGACAAACAAATCATTGTCTCCCAGTGTTGGAATCTTTTTGTTGACTGTCGTAGTTGTGTCTGGGGTACCAAACAGAAACATGTTGCTGTCATTCAAATACAATTCCAAATCGATCTGTACATTAGGTACCAAACATTTGCCTGTTCTGAACACCGCGATGTGAGGTTTGATGATAAAGGTATGATACGCTTTGCCGAGTAATCGACTGGTGAGTGCTTTCAAGCCTGTTTTTCCACTCCATGCTGTTGGGTTAGGTTCATCATCATTGGCCGCATTGGTAGGAGTTAATTCTTCCTTGGCATTGAGCTCATTCACCCATCCTTGAGCAGCCAAAGTCATTTCTCCTTCTTGACGATTAAAATTCTGTAGGGTTTCTAGGTAAGCGTTCTGGTGATAGGCATTGCTTTGTTCTGTCATCAACACTCCATTGAAAGACACATTCATTTGATTAAAGAGAGAATGACCAAAATTGTTGACGCAATAGACAAATTTGGTATTATTAGCATCCGAAGGCGCGACCTCTGCACTAGAAATACCTTGTGTTCCTGCAGTGTTCAGTCGCACTCTGATTTCTAGCTTGGTTTCATTTAAATCATAATAATCATCCCCTGCTGGTACAGTAAAAAGAACAGATCGTGTTCCAGTATTAGCTGGTTTGAAAGGAATCCACCGTTTGGCTTCATAGCTATAGTCAATGTCGGGAATGTCAAACAGATTCAGCGACATGTTGAAGGACTGATAACTTAACGCCGTTTGCGTCGTCTATTTATACGTTTCCGTCCTTTGTTTTTCCAAGGGTAGATAACTGGATGCATTTTCCCTCCTTTTTGTTTTTTTATTCTTCTGAGAATCCATGGATCTATTTCATACCGTTTATAATTACTGAATGCCCATGGGTTGGGAGGATCTCGAAAAATAGTGCCTCCATGTTGATAAGGTGAATGGTAACGACCTACAGGTCGTTGATGTCTTATGCGAGATTGTGATTTCTGTCCTTGTCTCATGGTTTACACCCCTAAAATGTCTTTCACATGCTGTCGTTTCTTTTTATAGCTTTGTTTGGCTTTGCTTTTCACAGCCAGACCAATAGCCGCTGGTATTTTACGTTTGAGTCCTCTTTTTAAAACTTCTCCTGAACCTTTTAAGGCTTCGGAGGCTCACGCCCCTTTTTCATAAGCATATAATCCATGCCCAATCGAGCGTACTACACTTGGTCCCGCTAATTTTACCAATTCTTGCATAAAACCACTCCCGTGCATAGTGGGGGTATGATAACGCGTCAGTGATCCTCCCAACATGTTGTTTGTTGTAGTTGTGATGTTTGCATAATACAGGGTCTCTTTTATACTTGTTGAAAACCAAGGGTAATGATGGTTTTGCCTGGGGATAAGACCAACAAGGAACCATCTGGTGTAGCCAACGACACTTCAATGCTTTCAATGTGTTGATTTCGAACTCGAATCCATTCACGATGGTAAGGTTCTATGGTCGCTCTCCCCTCTCCTTTTCTTTCTAATTCCACTTTTCTTAACAGCGAATGTCGTTGTGATCCTACAATGGTGGATTCTACAGCATCGCAATAAATCATGACCGTTTGTTTTACGGTTCCCACATGCGTATTAAACAGGACATTCAGATTTTGAAAATGCCAATCCACAGTACGCGTGAGATACAGATACGATTGACCATTCTCTAGTTTGACTTTGAATAACGAGTTTCCTCCTAATAAATCTGATGGACTAATGCTCACAAAATGCTCTCCTAGCCATTCATACTTATCATTGGTTTTGACGGGTGGAGTGGATGTCGTATGAGTGGTTGTGGGTAAGACAAAGTCTAAATTGGGTCCTAATTGGTATTGGTTGTTTTTGTCTTTGAACAATAAACCTAACTTTTCCGCAAAATCCACATGTATCCCTACAGAGGAAAGGCGGTGAATTTTTAGCTGTCTGTCACGAGCAAGCGCATCTTCACGGGATACTTTTTTCAACACGAGGATGTTTTCGTTCCATTCAAAGGTGGGTTTCCAAGCAGATTTCAGGGAAACAGTGCCTGTATTACCTTTGGTTGTTTTCCAAGTGTCGAAGGTTGACTTTACATCTTCCATGATAGTTTGTTCCATATGGGTCATAATATTCTGCCATAATTGATGATCTGAATAGACAGGATACGAACTACCCATGACGTCTTTCAAAGTCACAGTTTTGTCTTTGGGCTCAAAGTTAATAAACCAATCACTGGCCACAGCATGACGCTTGGTGTAGCGATAGTTGAGTATCTTGGTGTCACTATTACTGTGAATGACCGCAGAACTATGTCCTACATCAGGGACCGAGACACTCCACAAACTGGCTTGCCAGGTATTGCCTTCTAAATTGAGTCGCACCGGTAAACGCACTTTAAAATTATTATTTTGGTTTTGGAGATGTTCGTCCGTGGGATCGCTGATCAAGGTTAATCGAAAACTCTTCATAACACTTGCAAATCTTTTTTCCACACCCAAGAGTTATATTTTTTCGGCCAACCCTTCCAAGACACAAAGACTTGTTTTCCTTTGCGTTTTAAAACTTGATCAATACGAAATAATGAATCGTCTGCGACATTGACCTTTTGCAGATCTGGTTCATAAAACGTTCCTTTCATAGGAGACCCGTCCCATTCCGTGAGTTTATACGTTACCACTGGTTTTGTCGTATAGATTTGTTTCACTAAAAACACTTCTTCGGTCCACCCAGGTAAATACCCTTTTTTAAAAGGACGAAATTTTTTATTGAGTCTTACTTTATCACCTACTTGACATTGCGGTTTTTTCACTTTGTTGTCTTTTTTTTTGTATCGTATAAACGATACCAAATTTCGGTTTCGTTGGACTCGTTGACATTGACAGGTTTTTCTTGAATACTACGATGATAGGAATGATTATATGCTTTCACTAAAGCAGGCAACACATCAATATACTTGAGCGTATTATGCGCAGTAAAATAGCGAAACATGTTCGTTTTCAAAGTTCGATTCCAACGTTCCACTACGGAACCGTGAGGATCTCCATGCGTAGAAAAATGATTCACACCCTGTTTTTTAAAAAAGGATTGCACTTTAACATTATAAAATTCACCGCCAGAATCCGTCTGTACTTTTTGAGGTAAACGATCTCCTAATCTTGCCCATAGTCTTTGTAAGGCTTCTACCATCGCTGTTGCGCTTTTACTCTTTAACGGCTCTACCCAGGCAAATTTTGAGAGCACATCAATCACCGTCAGTAAGTATTTGTACCCTTTGTTGTATTTGGCTAGTTTTTGCATGTCTACCAAGTCCATCACAAATTGTTCGTTGATGTTAAACACCAGGGTGGGTAATGTTTTAAACCGCCGACGTCTTGGTTTATGCAGAGTGTAACTCAGTACTTGCTGCAGTTCCTTCTTGGCTTTGGACACGGGAATCTTGTGTGCTTTGGCAAATTTGGCAACACCTCCCAGTGATCCAGGCTCGGTAGGATCGACATACGAAGCGGATAATTTCGTTGACATAGTACACTAAAGGGCGACTTGCTAAATACCAAAATGAATACATGTTGTTGGCATGATGTTTCTTTAAATAGTCAAACACCTTGATTCCTTCGGATGGATGGTGTCGAAGCAGCCAAGTGATGTACACTGCATAATGTCCCCAGGTTGTATGGTTATGATTTATCATCCATTGAAACATTGGGATAGGAGGAGAAGTGTCTTCAGAGCATAGGTCGTTTAACAAACGACGACAAATCCACACCGTACTTCTATACTGAAGGTTTCCCATGACTGAATGAATACTTTTCAAAACGAATGATCGATTTTTATACGTCTTTATATTCTATTTTTAGAACACATTTCATTCCCCCTGTTTGAACATGTTTAATTCTCAAGGGCTAGGGTTTAACCCTAACCTAATTAACATTTTAACCCTAACCCTAATCGCAAGGGGCTAGGGTTTAACCCTAACCCTAACCCTAACTCTAACCCTAAGCCTAACCCTAACTCTAACCCTAATCCTAATCCCAAGGGGCTAGGGTTTAACCCTAACCAGACAACAACCACATAACATTTCTTTTCAACACTTTTATTTAAAAATTGCTTGTTTTTATGCTACACATTTTTTAAAGAGAAATTCAAAAAATACCAGTACCAAAGGTTCTAAAGGTTTCATAGGAATAAGGAGGCAATCCACATTTTCTTCTCTCAGCATTGTTTGCATCACATTCTTGAAAAAATCTCTTTTCTCTTTCTTGTTTTTCCTTGTCTGTTTCTTCCGAGATACATACATTCACTAATTGAGCAAAAAAACGTTCCTCCACGGGTGTTAAAGACAATCCCTTCTGCTTTTTGTTGCGACAATAGGAAGCCAAACTGCAGACTTTTTCAGGCAGATAACCAAAAGACCAGTCTTCATACACTGCTTTGGCGATGGCTACTTCGTTCTTTTCATACTTTTCAGCTCCGGGGGGAGGTTTCCACTCATTCTGTTTGCTTGCTATGCAGGCATTTAAGAACTTTTCATCCGCAGGTGAGAGAGAATGGCCTTTGCTTTTTTGTTTTGTTAGATAATCAGCTGCATTTGCATCCGCTGGAGGAAGATGATGCCATCCTTTCACACGAGAATGAAACCTATGCTCGGCAATACTAACAACCTCCTTCCATTGCTCTCGTTTTTTGAGTTCCTTGTCTATCTCTAGACTTGACTGAAAGGTGCTTGGCAGAGGGGTGCTGTTCCAAGGAAACTTTGTTTGCGCTTTTCTTTGTTCTTGTTGCTTTTTGGCTGATTCAGCAAACTGTTTGGCTGATTCAGCAAACCATGTATGTTGCTGATTCTGCTCTGTTTGAGTTTCGGCATCTTGTTTGCTGTACCAGCCATTGCGTTGTTTCCACGTTTCAACATTCGCTCCTGCTTGTTTCATCCATTCGGCTCTGCTCAGGTTTGTCGCATACTTGAGTTTATGGGTCTCTTATCGATAAACAGTGGTGTGTGAATCCACTGAAAATATTTGCAGCGAGTCTCAGCTAAAGCGGGTGTTCCACAGGTTAAAAAGACTTTGTTCAGGTTTCTGGCGGTCTTACTAAGACGAAGGATAGGAATTCGTGAGCAATGACATTTCAATTCTCCCCATTTGGTTTTTACTTCTGCATGCATGTCTTTCTTTAAGGCATCATACACTTTCAGTTTGTCCAATTCTTTTCCATAAAATCTTGGGCAGAGTTTCTTTTCGTCAAAAATAGAAAGCAAAAATTGAGTGTTTAAAGGACCGTCAGGACCGCCAAAATCTACGTTCATCATTTCAAGATCTTCTTCTCTACTCATTTCACAAGTCATGGTGACTGTCATTGTGATTTGACCAGAGATTGCCCCAATTTTATAAGACTCCTAAGGTCCCCAGGGTATTGGGCAAGATCGGGCAAGAATCCCCAAGGGTGTTAGACAAATAAACACACGCTTGACTGAGATCACATTGTTTAATTTTAAACAACAAACTTTTTACAACAACAAGAGCAAAGTGTTTTTAGGGAAATTTAAATCCTCCTGCCTCTACTTTTGGTCGTTTCTGTAATCTTTCTTGTACCATCTCATGCATTCGTTTCTAGAGAGCTGAGGGTGTAAAAGCTTTAGGGACCTTCACAGGTTTAGGTGCTTGGTGAATCCACTGAAAGTAATTACACCTGGCTTCTCTGGTCTTAGGACAGCTTAGGAACACTTTGTTTGGATTTCTTGGTGTTTGACTCAGCTTGAGTCTAGGCACTAATCCACAATGACAGCTAAAGGTTCCCCATTGCTCGTAGATTTTGGAATGAATGCTGTTACAAATGGTATCCAACACTGTCTGCTTGCTGTCTGCATTGCCAAAATACACGGGACATGTATAACAAATGGCAAGGCCTTTTTCAGGCAGGACAAAGCTGGTATGCAAAGGCTTGCTCGCATCCAACAGATATTCTTGCAAAGAAACTTCATCTAAATTAGGCACATCGAATTCCCCTTCTATAGGCCACCATTCCACTTGTCGACCATCTGGTACCACAGCGACTCCTTCTTCCATGATATGCACGGGATCTAGGTCAGGCTGTGTTTCCATAGAACTCGGACCATTGAACAGATCTCGGCAGGCCTGCTGCATTTCCTCATAGGAAGGAAGTTGTTCATTGACAATCATTTGAGGTTCTGGGTCCAGGTATTTCTGCAACCTAAATTTATCGTCTGTAGTGTAATGGGGTGCTGTCCATTCTTTTGTAAGAGGTTCTGCATTCTCAATCATTTGAGGTTCTGGAGTTTTCAGAACTGATTGAACCACTTCTTCTCCCGTCTTATTTTTGGCTTTTCTGGATTTCTTTTCTTTCTTGGGAGGAGCAGAGTTATCCATGTCAAACGTCGGTTCTTGCAGATAACACATACAGCAAAATCACATCAAACACACAAATTTATACTTACTTAAAATACCTCAGGGAATTGAACATGTCTGGGCAATGACGTCACTCCTGTCACGAACTCGCACTAATCACACCCTTGAGACGAGCATGTTGGGGCAGACTATAAAAGAGATAAATTACCTCATTTCATTATTTAACAACATAACTCAGCCAAATGACAACTCGTTTTATGTGACGCTGACTAGTCAAAAAACACAGGAATTTCCAGACAATTTACCCACACAATTTCAATACCGTTTGCCTCAAAGCTTATGGTTACCGGGCAAATGGAAAGTGGGTTTGGAAAGTGTGTTTTTACCTGGCGTTTCCAATCCCATTCCCCATGTTGTCACATCCCATGTCAGTTCCTCTCTGACGAAACATCATGACACAAATCCTACCAAACCTTTCGGAAAAGAGCACCTTCTCAAGTCAAGACCTTCCGAAATTATGCGCATTTCAATGTTGACGCTTTTCGCAAAGATCTGAAAGGTGTTACCTGGAATTCTGCTCCTGGTCCCGATGGACCTACCATTGTTGATGACCTCTGGCATGGCTTTAAGCGGAAATTTGTCACGATTGCTGATCGTCATGCACCGCTGACGCAGCGCCGGGTGCGCGGCATTGACAATTGTCCCTGGCTAAACAAGAGCATAAAGGTGACTATGCGCCAGCGTGATTATTTTCACAAAAAAGCAATCAAAAGCAATGCCTCAGAGCATTGGGCAAACTACCGCCATTTTCGCAATCGTGTGACAAAAGAAATAAGGTCAGCGAAAGCGTCTTACAATAAACGGCTCATCGAGGAAACTGGTGGTGATCACAGATCGTTTTGGAAGGCGATTAAAAAAATCCTACCGGGAGAAAAGAAAGCTACTTCTCCAAACATTAAAGTGGACGGCGTTGTCTCTTCTGACAAACAATGCATTGCCAACGCATTTAATAAGTTTTTCGCATCTGCAGCAAGCAAATTGATGGCCACTTTACGGAAAACTTGTGGTAATAAACAGCGTGATTCCGATACTCCTGCCCGTCAGTATCCGCCGTTTAATTTTCTTGAGATCTCTGAGGAGTTTGTTATGTCTCAACTACGTAGCCTGAAATCTGGGAAGGCTGTGGGTTTGGACCGCATACCGGCTCGCCTGTTAAAAGATTCTGCGGACATTGTAGCTAAGCCTGTGGCGTTTATTATCAACACCTCGTTACGTACTG